AGGTTTTAAAGTGTTACATCTGCCCTTTGAGTTCCCAGTAAATAGCCCAATGTTTCTTAGAGTGTAGGATACAACCAAGTGGCAGAAGCACAGTGTGGGTGTCCAGAGTGGTGCAGATGCAGATGCTCCCACGTGAGCACTGGGATGTCTGGTGGTTATTCCCCAGCCCTTGGGTGGTACCATTCCCATGGTACCTGAGTGGGGTTTGGGGTAAAGCTGACAGCTTGAACAGGAGCTGTATCTGAGCTGTGGGACTCAAACTAGGGATTTCTGCTGTGGGAAAGACAACCCATAAATAAATGAAAAGTGAAAGATGGATGAGCTGGAATGAGCTGTGAACTGACAGCTTTGTGACCGGTTTTGACTTATCTCCCTTTTGCGGTCTAAAGCTGAGTGCCTCATAAATTCTAAAGACATCAAAACTGTAACTAACACAACTGAAACCATCCTAGGATCTCTGGAAATTTAAAGAGCAGAGACTGTAGCTAGAAGAGAAGAGACAGCGAATGGGGAATGAGTTCTCTCCTCTAAGTGGTAGTTTTGGGTATTTAACTTCCATTTTAACATTATAGGTCAAATCAGCACACTGACACAATTGTGGGCATTTGGGGTCACACAGTGGCTGTCCTACAATCTAATATTGAGATTGAGAATCCTAGAGATTGAAATACTTTCACATCTTATGGTTCGGGGTATTTTACCGACTGATCTTAAAGATCCTGGGATCCTCAAATCGATACCTACTAACCCTCTTGTGCTCTGTCAGCCCCGAGGTGACACACAGTAGACACCATTTGGCAACCACAGGCCATCATGCTGGTCTCAGGGGCCGTTTCATGCTGTGCTCATGGGATAGAAAGGAGGGCTTTTTAGAGGCAGGAAGACATAAACATCAAAGCAGCCTCATCTGGTCTGCTCAGAGCCCCATTCAGTCTGGCACTAGGTTTCTGAGAGTGGCCAAAAATGGGATGAGCCATAAGAACGGGTCAAACAGTTTGTAGCCAAGAGAAATCCTGAACTTGGGTCTCAGAGCTTTGTGTCTCAGAGCCCACAGTGCAGCTGCCTCCCATGAGTCTCTCCTAGATCTCTTTATCTATGTAAGCATCTGCAACACCTTCTGGCAAGACTTGCAGCTTAGCTCTCTATTAAGGTTATTTAGTGAAGAGCTGGGGAAAGAATTAGAAAATGAATTAGGGTAACAGTATTCCAGCTGCAACTCAATATCTAGTGTCACGCAATGACCAACAAACCTTCTCTCCAGGGTATGTGCAGGCGAGAGCTGCGGAACTTTCCAGTGGCAAGAGTTCACCGTGTGATTGTGCACAGCAATTTCCTGGCTGCCATCAATTCCTTTTCATATTTCCTCAGAAGAGCCACCGGGCAGCTGATGCCTCGCCATAAATTCCAGAAAAGTAATAGCTTTTCAGATGGTTGGGTTCTGGGGTTTTTGCCCCTTCACAGAAATTGTCTCTAAATAATACGCTTTTATAACATGCATTAGAAGCTTTGGAGTAGATTCCCAGGAGCCCCACACTTGCTAAGCTGAAGTCTGGCACCCCCAGCAGGACAAACTGCTTACCCAGAACTGGAGATGCCTGAAGACGCCATACGTCCGTTACAAGTCTCCAACAGCTAATTCTGCTGTTTACAGCCACATTTTTGTCTATCAAGAGCAGGCTGGTTCAAAGGCTTACATCCTCTTGTCTGTGGGTGGAGCCAGTCTGTTCTGGCTGGTTCAGACAGGGGTGAGCTCCCACGTGTTGGCCCTGAAGGCACTTTCCCTATTTGTAGATTAGGTGGGCTGTAGCTCAGTCATCTGAATCCTCCTTGGTAGTTATCTTTGTTTTACTCTCTTTATACACCTATGCCAAACAAACAGGGATTACAAAATAATTGATGTCCTGCCCTCATCAAGCAGTCTTGCGGTACGCCAGGGTGCAAGACAAGCAGGACATGGTTCCTTTCTAGGGCTTCCTTCTCCCCTTCCAGCCCCGCTTCCTGTCCTTCTCTAGTTCAGTTACCTCGTCTGTGTACACCAGCACTGTATTCCCACTGCATTCATCAACTCTCTTATCAGAACATGCTTGCAACAATCTATTTCCATGAGCAATTTTAGATAACAGAAACCTGCTTCAAATTTAGCAGGGAAAGTAGCACATTTCCTCATCCAGAGGAGCATCTGGAACCTCACCTGAGAGTAGAAATGCATCAAAGGCAGAGATCTGGCTGAAGTGGTGTGAGCCATTTTCCTCACCAGCGATGGCAGAAGACAGGGAACCTTGTTCAGTGCCACAGCAGATGTTTCATGCACAAACACCACTGTGGGAACGGGCCTGAGGGTATGTGATGTCCATTATTGCCTCCACACTACAAAACCCCCACTACTCGGCCAGCTGTAGCTCTACAGCATTATCTGGTTTCAGGCACCGTATTAAAAATATAATAATCGTCATTTTTTAGAAGCCATCTTTATAAGGGTACATTAAATGGTGCCAGGACATAAGAAAAAGAAACTAGCCTGTCTGTGCTGTTTTTCAGGATGGGCCACGTCCATCCTAAAGGGGTGCACGCCTGGGCAGGCTGACAGCTGTCCCTGGCAGGGCTTGGGAGGTGGTGAGGGACGCGTTCCGTAGGCTGTTTGGATGCCACTGCCCTGGTTTGGAAGATAAGACAGTTACTGGTAGACAGAGGTCCCCTCTGTAAGAAACAAACCTGTTAAGTTCTAAGTTCTGGTTCCAGGTCTGTGAATCCCATTCTCCTGCATTCTCCTGGCCGCAGCGCTGAATCTCACCCATCTGATAGTATTTCTTTTCCTCTTGGCTTCCTTTTTTATTTTTCTTCTTCCTTGTCTTCTACCCTTTCCTTCTTGGGAAAAGGAGTAACCTTTCTCTAAGGATAAAAATCTTTATACTGCTTTTCAAGGCAGAAGAAATCTTTAGGACTTTCAGCCATATAAGCCTAATTTGTCAGTTTTTTTCCCCCTCCTCATCTCTCTTAATGGATCTCTTATGCATTTATAATGTACTCAGCACATGGTACCTAGAGACCCTTATACACAATTTATAAAGCAAACATTTTTTTTGCAAGAAGTTTCTGCTTCTCTCTCTCCTGGCTATCGCCAATCCCTGGATCAGGCTGCTCTCGCTGATGTGCCAAGGAAGCCAAGGTGTCTGTTTTATACTCCCGACACAGACTGTCTCACAGCATCCTGGCTTTGCCTTTGTGGGATGGCAAAGTCAGGCTCACGTTGATTTATTTTAGCAGCTATTAACTACAGAGCTGCCTGTAATCAGCAGAGCTGGCTGCGTTTCTCCACCAGCCCCAGCCCTGGCGTGACTCAGCGCTGGCAGCTCCCCAGCTCCACGCAGAGCCGTGTCCCAGGCAAGAGCCCAGAACGTTTCCATGCACCTTGAAATGACTACATGAAAGAGAGAAAATAATTCCCTGCTGATGAGGAGCCAAGTTTTACATTTCTGTGTCATTAGCTGTAAGCACCTGGATGCTGCAGGCACCTGTTGGGAACAGCTTCCTGCTCAGTATCCCCAGGAGCCCGGCGGCTGCCTTGCAGGGTGACCATGGGGTGACCAGCCCTTCACAAACACCCAAGGTGTGCGTGCACCTGGTTGTGCAAGGACACTGTACTCCTTCTGGGCCTGAATCTCTAAAAGTGAGCTCTGTAACACTGGATCCTGTATTGGATCCAGCCTTCCGGCCTCCAGTCTAATGCGGTGGTAACAGCATTAGATTAAATTTGTGTTTTACTCCACAGTGGCAGTGGGCAGCCTATTCAAGAGGCGATGGACACTGAGTGCAGTGCTGGAGCAGCAGGGAACACTGATCAAAGCCCTCATGCTCTCCTGGCTCCAAATCAAGTTTTTTCTGCTACGAAGTGTTGCAGACATTTTTTTTTAAATAGTAAAAAAAAATAATACTGGAATTCTGTATTTTCCTTCCAATATATTACTATATCTCATCCTACATACTAGCCAAGTGTAAGCGAATACTGTATTTTCCATGAGTCTGTTACATCTTCTTTCCTAACTGACAACTGCCTTATTTCAACAACAGAAGGCTTTTCAGAAGCAGGACAATTTTCAGTGAGAACTTAATTTGAAAAACTTTTTTAGACTAACCCCTTACCACAGTAATACCATCAATAAAATCTCTTCACTAGGTATGCTGAGGTTACACTTGTTTTCCAACGCTAATATATAACACCACCTAAGAAGAAATGTTATTTGAACATTCATATGGCCATTTACACTGACTTGTACTTCCTAGGTCACCAAAAAAGTTAACAAAAAAATACCCAAGCCCTGTGCCCTGGCTGCAGACATACCTGGGGCTGCCTGCCTCTGATCGGAGAGACTGAGAACGGCTGCACCGGGGGCGAGCTGTGCTGCTCTGCAGGGCTTCCTCTGAACCTGAGACTGAGCAGAAAAGATCTACAGAACTTCAATAAAAAAAGGAACACCGATTAGTAAGATGCAAAAGTAACGGGTTCATTGCGAATAGAAGGATAAGTCTAAATTAAATTTCTTCTGGTTAAAATAGAAACAAAAAAAAAAGAAAAAAAGTGCAAGTAGATCTTCACTGTGCTCAGCTGGTCGGTGTGTCACAAGCACTCCTAGGCTTGATCTAACTCAGACAGGAACCCGCTCTTAACTTTAGAGTCAGACCTTACTGGATGACAAGTTCCATTAAATACAAATACTCGTGTAAATGAAGTCTTCAATTAAGTCTCTATAAAACAATGTCTCAAAGCATAAACAACATTTTTCCTAGCGTAAATGACAAGGTGAAAAGTGTGCTAATAATTTAAGCTAATATTTCTCATTTCTATTAAATTGTTAAACTACAGATAATCCTTAGAGTATTTTCAGTAAACCCTGTTGCAGTTTCTAGCTGAAAAAAATACTCTGAAACAAGTGTACAGAAAAACCCCATGTAATTCAAGGAGCATAGAAATTTTGGAAGTGATCAAGGTATAAACAAACACATGAAATGGAAATTAGCATCCAAACCAGCAAAATATATTTAAGCAATATCACAAATACACACACACAAAAAATCTATTTACAGATCTAAAATCGGTATGTCTGGTAAAAATCCTCCCACAAAAAAGTATTTATACACAAGAAATTTAACCCAGTTACACCGTCTACTGCTGGCAACAGAGCCGCTTTACAGCCAGCGTAGCATTAATTATGCCTTTGTAAAGTAAAGGGAAAACTTAATAAAGGTGAAGAAATTCTTTCCGGGAAAAACTTGAAGGCTGGGCAACAACATTCCCAAGGCATACAAAGCATAAGGAGCTGCAAATACTCAACTCTGGTAGTGCAAAAATGAGGAAGAATGGCTTTTTTCCCCCAATACTTGTTCAGAGAAAAATACTACTGTGAATTTGCAATTCGAATTCTTTTTAAAGACTTAAATTTGTACAACTTAGTGCATTCGCATGTTTCAGCAAGGCTGATATTATACAGGAGGTAAATGAAACAAAGTCAACATAAAATTCCTGCCGTGATATAAATTTATAACAACCTTTATAACAAAATGTCTGAATATACAGCATAGAGACAAGCCTCGGAAAAAAAGAAAAGTTTAGATATTCTCCATCCAGACAATTCTCAGGCATGTTACCGCTAATAAAAACAACTTGTACTTAACTGATAGCATATGTAACATTCTTTGGAATTGGATTTACGTTCCTCTTTCAGGGAAGAGCAGAGGGTAACTCCTCCCTCCTCTCTGGGATGAGGAGCTCCTGGTGTGCTGTCCCTCGGGCACACACCTGGGGCTGAGGGTGTGGGAGCCCCAGGAGCCAGAGAAAAACTCCACCTGGGAAGAGGGGTGAGGTCAGGACACTGTGCCATGGAGCGGTGTAGAAGCAGGGTATGAATACTGCTGAATTCCTGAGGCTCACCATCCCACACCCGGGGTTTTATAGTGTTTTGAAACACACAAGACAGTTTCTTTGTCCAAAAAGGCCTCACAGTTTTGAATGGCTGTAAACATTTCTTTTAGTTTAAATCAGCATTTTCACCACGCCTTTGCCATTTAACAAAACAATAAAATCAAAAGCAGGAATACCTTAGCTCATGTTAAAACTATTCCAAATTCAGAAAACTAGACTGCTTTAATTGAGAAAACTGGAACAGATCTGCAAACGTGGGATTAGTTTTGCAAATAATCTTTTTTGCTGTATTTTTAGCTGACTCTTTATCTAACTTTCAGCAAACTGCTAAAGAGCACCCCGTCTATCCTAGAGAAAATTCAACAGTTTGATCAGTAAGCTGAAAAATATTTAATAAACAGAGGCAAAAGATTAGCACCAACTGGTTTGCCCTGCCCAGAGCCAGGCCCATCCCTGCACTGCAGAGTGGACACGGCTCACGCTGCCAGGACAGGTCAGGAGCCCCCACACTTTTCCTCTTCTCCTTGATGTACAAAAAGAAAGATAACAATGATGTCCCTAACAATGTTAACAGTAATGGGTACAGAGTAACATTTACCCGTTATCATTACCGGGAAGTGCTATGGCTGATATTCAAAGCTTTTCCAAAACAGAAAGGACTAACTTCTTAACTTCCAAATGTTCACAGGGTGACTACTGGGTATTACAGTGTTGCTTTATGGGGACTTTGTAGAAAATTTCCAGTGCCCAAGCTGGAACAGTTTATGATCCGATCAGATGAACTTTTACTGAAATAGCAGTCAAAATAACGGTGATTTTAAAAACCAAATGATTGCCTTTATGCAATCTTTTTTTCTCTATACTCAAGGGTTGTTGACCAGAAATGGCTGAAAATGACTTCTGCAGAGGAGACTGCTGCTTTTCTACAAGCTGACAGATGCTCATTCAGCCTAACTTCAAGTATCCAACGTACGTGCTTGAACAAGGAGCTTATGTACTCAGCCCAGGCTCCAGGGGACAACTTAGAAGTGCTCTAAGGTTATTCAACAGACATAAAGGATTTGCTTGCTTGACCTCTAGCATATGAAAGCAAAACCAAAACAAATCACAGGAAAATTAATCCTAAAATAGAGTTCAAATTACTCCTCCTCTGAAAATATTTATTGCTCTTTGTTAATGAGCAGTGGAGCAGTTCAGGTCACTAGTATGGACTCAGATGTCCAGCTTTCAGATATCTGAATTTAAATGAGATGACTCCTTAAGGAACTTACGTTGGATACCTGAAATTAGATGGTGGGATTACCCTCTGTCCTTACTGAGAAGAGCCACCTCTCGAATCCGACAGAGCTGCAGTCACAGCATCTACTTCGACAGACCCCATGGACCTGAGTTGTGGTAGGATACCTCATCTTATCTCTCATTTCTTTACCCTCTTTTCATTTTCTGAAAGGGGATAGAGAAAAACAAAGTTGTGTAATATACACTAATGAAGAAACTTAGTAGCTGTCACTTGTAAATCCTACAAAGTCCCCATTTTGAAGTTGGTGGGCGCAAATTACTTTGGGTATTGCAGATCTCATAATTTAATAACACATTTTATTTTCAGGAGTTACTAATGGGTATCAGCGTTAGCACTCTCTAACTTACCTGGCTAACAAGTTCAAATGGAATTAGAAAAAACCTTGATGGCAAAGACTTAAAGAGCTCCTAAAGTCGTTTCAGTTCTTTAAATAAAAAAATTAATAAGTTATATTTTAGACAAATATCAGCTAACACCTAACATTTTTATTAAAATACTGATGGAAACAGAAAAAAGTAAACTCTAGGTCTACTGGATTGCACACACATATGCAAAAAAAATCCACTACAAATTTAACTTAGTCGATTAGTTGTTTCACTCCTTATTTTCTGCACTTAAGAAAACAAGACCAGAAAGAGATGCAGTTTCTATGACTGAAGAGGAAAGACAGGGGCAGGATTTCTAGAGTCTCATCCAGCTTTGTAAGTGGAAGGATTAAGATTGGAACCTTGGGGCTGGGAGAACAGAACTGAGGAATTCTCAGGATTCACTCCTGTCCTAAGGGAATAATCTGCTCTTTCTGGCATGTTTGTGATTTTAAGAGATCATGAACACAGCGCTCTGATCCTGTACTCAGCATTTTACAGAATCAAGGTCTTAGGCACAGCAAAAACTTCAGATAAACATGGAAACAAGGCAACACTTCTATTTCCATCTTTTATGTATGGATTTTTTTCTTTGTTAAATTCCTTGGGGTTTGTTTTTTATTTTTTTCTTCAGGGTAGCTGAAGAAATAGAAACTAGTAAACACCTGGAAAAGACAGAACCACCCTAACAGGTGAGGGAAAAACTCTCAGTGCACTTTTAATTCTATATATGAACGAACTACTGGCAATATTTACAAAAAAAGAGAAAAGATCACCAGCAAGATACTGAATTTTGAAAGTAACACTGAAAGTTTTTAAAACTGCACTTCAGAAAACATTGTGCAAGCAGCATCAGAACATTAAACATTTGTCTGATTTCCTTGTTTTCTGTGGCAAATTTCCACTCATGGCAGTAGAGAACTGAAGCAGGGGCTGAAGATGTAAAAGCAAATAAAACTAAAGATTCCTGGTAGCTACTTACCTACAATTGGCTATTCACTCATCTTTTTTATTTATTTATTTATTTTTGGCTCAGTGCTGTTTTATCATACCCTTGACCCCACCATATAATTTCAAGGATATACACGTTGATTTGAGTATTAGCTTGGTTCCTTGCCTGTATTTGAACCTTACAGTGGATAGAAATGGCAAATAAGCAGACTGTAACATTCCCAGGAGCTGCTGTCCATCAAACTGCTGACTCTGAACAAAGGCTGCTTTAAGGAACGCATGTGAACATATGAACTGTCTCCAAAATGCACGGTCATATTAAATATGTCTCTTACACAGGTACATACAGACCAGTTACAAAACTCAAATATCACAGTCCTACCCTCTTCTGTTTAAGATTGCATTTTCTAACTGTTGCATATACCGTAGCTGCTCAAAGAGCTGAATAAAGTGAGTGTAGCAGACTTTTTCAGAGAAAAATAGTCATATAAAAAGTTGCAATTACAGCAAAGTGAGAAAGTTCCCAAAGCTCTCACTTAATTTCCTCTTTGGTTCCTAATTAGGATTTGACGAGTTTGAAACCCTGTCCCGTGTCCAGCACTGTGGGAAGAAACCAACTCATTTTCAGTCTTTTCAAGCACCTAAAGCAGGCTTTACAGACCCAGAAAAGATTGAGACCACAAAACCAGTTGGCCAAATGTACTAAGGGGTAGGTGATACGTGGGAAGTACATCATCCAGTGCTTGGCAACATCGCTGCCCGTGGGCAGATGCAAAGTGTAGTCGCTCCAGCGTTTGGACACCCCGTACATCGCCTTCACCGTGCGGCCCTTCTCCGACCAGCTGATGGTGCTATCGGGGTTACAGTTGTACTCAACCCACTGCCTGGTGAAGTCCCCGAGCTGTGGAGGGTCTGCTTCCTCGATGTCTACAACTCTGGCCATCTCTGCTCCTTGCACGGCAACATACTGGTCATTCACTTTTCTTACTTCTTTAACCCAAGGCTGAGAGTTCTCACAGTCTAAAACGATGATGAGTCGGGAACAAAAAGTGCCGTTCTTTTCTCTCCACCACTCCAGAAGTGTGTCAAGTCGTAAGGCATCACCTCCTGCCACAAGGAAAAAATACTTAAGATTAGCCAGAAGAAACAGAAACCTCTGTAGAATTTTGACTGCGGGTTCCAAAAATTCCTTATTTTAACAACCTGGACAAAGATAACACAAGTTTTCGACTGATCCTCCCTGCTTGTAGATGTTGCAGATCTCCAGAGAGACATTAACTGATTCCACCTGACTTGCTGTGGCAGATGAGGCTTTAACTCACTCTTGATTAAAAACAAAAACAACCTCCCCCCAAAAAACCCCCCAAAAGAACAAAAAATCAAACACCAAACCAACCAAGCAACCAAAAAAAAACCATCCTAAAAATCCCCCCCACAAAAAAGAATTCCCTGACAGGGTGAAAGAAATTACAGCCTGGTGAAGAAATATGGAAAGTGCTAAACAAGGGAAGAAAACCTGAAATAGAGTTTATTTTGTATTCAATTCTTAATAATTTTAATTGGAATAACCCACTCTTTTTATTAATATTAAAAAGGACTCCTCTTTTAAGGAAAAGAGAGGACTTTTGAACACAGCACATGCTAACAGTTTTGAAACACAATGAGAAAGCCACCTACAGGCATAACCATCACTTTAGCTTGAAAAAGTCATGGGACCAGAAATGGAGAGATTCACTCTACAGACACAGTTGTCTTCAGAGCTTCAAGAAAATAAAAATTGGCATGGATTTTCAGCTCCATGTAACAAAAACCTCACAGGAATTTTTTCACAATATTTATTTCATATCAGCTCAGAAAACACTTGCAACTAGAGTGCCCAACTTCTCATGTTCCATCTCAGCTCTTGCTCCAACAATAATTTAAAAGAGCAGATTGTAATTAAACCAATTTAACTGTAGCAGGAAGTATTTCTGCTTATAGTGCAGGGTCTATGTAGCTTTGAAAAGCAGGCCACTTACTCAAGTGCCTTGTAAACAAGAGAATAAATCTCCATTGGCTCCAGAGTGACTATTAATGTGAAGAACTGATATGGCTAGGTGTTGGCAGGTTGGAGGTATCATACAGATTTACAACAAAAGCACTCTAGTTTGAAAATATCAATTTTTTTTTTTTTAAATACTTTTAGAAGAGATGTAGAAAAATGTGATTAAAATAACTGCATTTTGATTGTAATTGATTTTCATTGTGGAATATAAGTACATTTAGCCGTGTTTAAAATCCTGCTAGTAGGCATTTAACTGCACAGAAGAATCTTAAATGGAATAGCTGCATATTTCAGCATTTATATTTCTACCTGCAAAGGATGACAAAAAAAGTGATTCAAATTAATAGCTCAGAGTTAAAGCTTTGAGCATGCTATCTCAGTTACAGTAAAAGCAAAATTACTTTCTGAAAAAAAATGCAAACCTGGAAAATTTAGTATCAAATAAATTCTTAGTATATAAACGTACAGTAATGACTTGTCTTGGTACATGATCCCCAAATTGCTGTAGTTTTTACAAGCAGAGGCTTATATAGATGCAGTTTCCCTTTTCTAGGTAAGCCTTCTGTGCCAATCAGCATTAAAAATGTCTTTATTTGTTCATGTTTTAAAGGAATATAAATAAACTTTGTTTTAGGGTAACTATGCAGGGCTGCAGGTGATTTCAGAACAGCGGATAGAACTGCCCAAAGAAAACCTCACCCTTCACACACACAAGCATAAGCTCAGCTTCTAACCCTACTGACCCCAAACACATGGAGTCATCGACCGGCACAAGATTGATGCACCAAGCTGTGTCAGAAACCCAGGTGTCTGCCCACAGCCGGCTCTTTGGCAGGTTTTGCCAGCAGCCAAACCCACAGTTTCAGCAACAAGAGCCAAAGCTTCACCAGCCCAGATCTTGCCTGTGCCTTCACTCAGAGAAGGTGACCTTCCGGGTTGTTTGACTGGTCATAACTTTACGTATGGCTAGTTAACAGTTTCTTTTGTACACCACTGTGTTACATCTCTGCTTCCCACAACAGAGAAACATCATTAGCAAACTAATAAATCCAGTAAGTCTCCTTTAAAAGATGCCATGACAAAGCAAAGATGATGTTGCTACTGCTGTGTCACATCACAGCGTAGGCCGGGGGAGAGACACTACTTCTATTAGATCCCAATGTTGTATTTCATTGTTACCATCTCACTTCATCCTCTCCAGAGGTCAGAGGACAGTACACGTTCGTTACTGGAGCTGATGACCAAAAGTTCCATCTGGCACAAAATGCCTCCGTCCAATACATTCGGCACAATTACACAACCAGTTTATGCTTCAGGTTACATTCAGAAGCAGTGCTATCTGGAAGGAGTATCAGGTTGCACTCCATGATTTATCTAAAATTAATCACCAAAAAGGATGCAAGACGTGTAAGATGTGTCAGCTGCCTGTTCCTCTCTTTTATGTAACGATGCATATCTCCAAGTAGAAGCTGAAGATGTGCTTGGACAGAGAACTGAAAAAGAGCTTTGTAGGAAAGCTGAACACCAATGCATTTACACATTGTATCTTTTAGCACAGAAAGTTTCTTTTTATTTTCCCAGTTACCTTGACCCTTATCCTAAAAGTGAACCAAAACAGGTAAACATCCTGCAGATGAAAGCTGACCTAGGCCTGAACATCTCAGCATGACCACACGCAAAGCCAACATCCGTCTGCACTGCTGAAGAGCACGAGCCACTGGAGAGAGACTCTTGACAAGCAGGCAGGCAGGCCGAGTGCTGTCCAAGAGAACTAACTCCCTCCCAGGAAGAAAAAAAGTTCCGTATTTTCAATGTATTTACTACAAGATTCACCTTTCGCACACAGCAACCTGGGAAGGCCAGCTCCATACGGCCGGAGAGGGAGGCTAAACCCCCCAATGATTTGAAAACTTCAGTAGGTTTACCAAAGAATACAGTTGAGATAGGATTGCCTATTACAGAGAGATCAAAAATGGGCCAAGAAAAGGGGAATTGGTGAAGTCTATGCCAAGCGTATGATGAGGCATTAAACCGGCCCTTTATACAGGGGGTCTGTAGCCTTGAGCCTACACAGTGACCCCTGAACTCCAGGATGTCAGCAAACCATAGCTGTTTTCATGATACAAAGTTTGCTGTATATTTGAAGACCTTCTTTTCTAGTGTGGATCACATTCCTGCCTATTTTTTTTACCGATTATTTTACCAAAAAAAAAAAAAAGAGCACATGACACAGTGACCAGGAACACTGTGTAATTCACTCTGCCATGTCCAGGGAATGGGAAGAGATTATGCTTGTTCATTACAGTGAAAAAACATTCGCCAAAATACAGGGGAAATCTGTCTTTAGAGCTGGTGGGGATCATTTCCACTTTACTTTTCTGGAAAAAAAAAAAAGTAGTGATCTTTAAAGTTTACTTGTTGACTTGTAAGGGGAATATGAAACCATGGTTAAATTTGTTTAAACTTTAAATATTTGGGGTCAACAATATTCAGACAATTTTGAGAACAAGTGCAAGATTAGTTAGCTGCAAAAGGATTTTTATCGAAGTGACTAAACACTGAAATGACACAGAAGTTCATGAACACACCTGACTGTCATACAGAGCAAGGTAAGTAAAGAGCTGCATCTTTACATCAAGTGAGCTGCATACAAAAGGGTCCTCTGTATTTCTCCATTCTCTCCACGAGCAGAGGTAGCCAGCCGGCAACCTTCCCTATTTTGAGGACCCCTTGTATCCCCTGAATCTCCCCACACCATGCTCTGTTTATTACCCTTTCCTTTCTTCCTTCCCCGCCAGGAGCTCATATAAACCTGTTTGCCAAAGACTGGTGGCTCTTTGCCATTCTGGACTATCAGATTAGAAATGTGACCAAAACTTCAAAGTTTTGCAAAACACTACGATTTTTTACAGAAAGAATTAATTGATATGGAAAGTTTATCAATACCAAAACTATTAATAAAAAATTCCCCAGTTACCTGCCAGCGCCCATTCACCAGTGCCGTGTGAGTGCCCACTGTAGTACAAAATGTAGGTATCATGTCTGGGTCCATCTGCCGTCCGAAGTTCAAGAAAAGACTTGATTTTGGAGTGGAGGGTATCAAAGGTCAGCCCGCTCGTAGAGTAATCACAACCATAGGTCTCAATCATGTGATATGCAAAAAATCTTTGGATGGCGTTGAGCATGCCAGTAGACCTCAGATTTAACTCTTGTACGTGCTCAGGTGGGAGAAGAGTTGGTTGCCCATCGGGACTAAAGAAAGGGAAAACAGCTACGATTATGATTTGAAATTATTTCATGTGTAGTGCACTTTTAGCAATTGGTGATATTTTTTTTTCCCCTCTGCATATCTCCTCTGCTATGAAGCAGCACTGTTCTAAATTAATATTTACTTGAAACTTAGTTTATAATCAATTCAAAATACTGTATTTGAGTGAGGGACCACTATCTCCCCCTCCCTTCTGTCACACTTCTTCACTTCAAAAGGTAGTCCTCACACAGCCTCGTGCTACTCCTGCAGCTGAGATGCAGGGGGAGAGAGAGGAGCCGTGATGTGAACGTGCTGGTGGGCTCCAACCATTTCATTAAGTCCCACTGAAAGCACACTGCCTTCAGATGGGCATTTGTTCACACACAACTGGGAAAGAAGCCCAGGGAGAATGAATGTTAGTCTGCACAAAGCATCATGCAAACTGCTTTCCAATAATAGACTAAAGAGAAATCCAAGTATACATTTTGCTCAGATATTTTGAATTAATTTCTCTCTGTTCCAAACCAGCTGTTATTCGTTATGGTACTCACACAAACACAGTAATTCTTACTTGTGTGTGCTGTTCAGATGCTGATCTTTCAGTATTAAAAATATGTTTCAGATGATGGTATTCCCTGCTTATAAAATGAAAGTGCTAAGAAAATGACAAACTAGGCTGGAGCAAACCACATACACATAGATATGTGTGTGTGTGTGTATATGAATATGCACATATAACAAAAGAGTCCCTGGGTTCCCTGGGCAATGGACAGATTTTGTGGATGAAAATACAGAGATGGTCCTACTCTACTAATAGAAAACATGACTTCTGGTTTTCATATATATCTCTGTATGTATAGATGTATGTATTCTTCATGTATTTTGTTTGCCAGTCAGAGCGTAAAGCTACCTGCTTTCTTTTTTGGTCTTGCTAATTAAATTTTGTACCTCCTCACCTGTCCAGTGCCTTCATGAAGGCTAACGTTCCACTACTACAATTATATTGAATACATCACCATTATTGTTTGTCTTAGCAAGCAAAGGCTGGGCCCATTACTGAAACAGTCAAGCTTTGTTAATAAGGAAGCTCAGTTCTGTCAGGTCCTGAATAGTTGCTCAAGGGTATCTCATTCACTCAGAAATTAGAGGGAACTGCCAGAGCCAGAATAACATAATACAATGAAATAATGAAATTATTGCCATGGAAACAAAAAGAATTTATTTCTATTGTGATGTAAATTTAGAAAACTTATTTTTTTAATCCCTAACAATAACTGACTACACGGATATATTTTTTGTAAAGAGTGCACAGCTGAAGACTGTAGATCAAAGCTCAGAAAATTTCTTTTTACATTATTTTACACTATTTAAGATGCAGTGATCTAAGATCAGCATGCTACCTTCTGTTTCTTTGCCCATTAATTTTTTTTCTCTGTCCACTGAAGCCATCGCACATACTGCAAGCTGGGCGGTTTTCATAAATTGGGCACTTCTGTTTTTAAGCCTCTCATTTCAACTTAGCACTCTGCTTCTCTTGTAACTCAAATAGATAACTTACACAGCTCTTGTTTTACCATTTAGCAAAAAAAAAAGGCACACACACAATTTTCATTATACCGCTAAAGTAGTATTTGCAAGCTTAAAGCTTCTAGGAAAAACACACAAATGGGCAAATAATAGTAGCGTAATCCCTCCACCCCCAAGCACTTCTCACATGGTAGCATTTATATTGCAACAAAAACCAGCTGTAAATTCACTACCAATAACTGAGATGTAGTCCACTCACAAATCTAAGTTCAATGTCCTAAATGTAGATATCATCTCATTTAATAGAAGTCAAAATTGTTTTAAATGGATCTGTCTGGTTTATTAAATCTCTTGTTATAAGGTATCTGCACTCCATCAAATGCCCCAGCCCTCCTTTGGGAGATATGGAACATGGAACGTGCCTGTGCAGGATTGGTGTGTGAAGCATCCATTGGCTTTCAAAAAGCAAATTAGACACGTACAAAAAGGTGGAGCTGGAGTTATTCCTTTTGGAAGGTGAGGAAAAGGAAAAATACAGTATCTGCCTATTATGAAAACTTGCCTGTTAATTATTGAAAAATACAAGCAACAGCACTGCCCTGCCTCTAGAGCTAAGGGAACACTTACTCTGCCGTGAAGCTGCAATGCCCGGTAACTGTACCTGCAGAAGTTGGTGGGAATGACCACAGCGTACCCCACACACGTTCCTCCCAGGCAGTTTCCCAGCTCATGGAAAAGCCCGTGAGCCATGGACTCCAGAGGTAAAACGATGAGAAACGCACTCATGAAGATCCCATTGGTTGGCTAAAAAGAAAACAGACGGATTTAGGTATTGCAGGAAAAATCGCTCCTATCTGTTGGTTATGGTTTTATGAATAATTCCCTGTATCTAATCAAACATAATTGGGTCCTGAAACGTGTAAGTTATTATACTTAATGTATACTTATTTTTCAACATATTACACAGTGAAGTACTCTAAAGACATGTGAAGGGCCAATTTTTAGGGGTCTGGGTAGAAGGTGGCTGGTACGCAGGGGTTACCCTTCTGAAAGGAATGCATTTGAAAACACTAACAGCACAGGAATTAGGCTTAAAAGCCCTGATCATAGCTTAGCTTTACCCATTTAAGCAGGAAAATCAAATGCCATGAAATTATTTACGTGCATAAAATAAGTGTATCTGTAAATATCTGCAGGATCAGGCCTTAATCAGTAAGCACAACACAAAATATTATGTACCCAGCATCAGATGAGAGCATACTATACTGCATCATTAAAATATAGATTTAACTATTCCTGCTTTTTAATGCCAGGAGTTTCTAAAATATTCTTTGAGGAATACTACGTATCACACAAAAGATGACTTGTGAGAACATTTATGAACATTACTGCCATTAAAGGCAATTCTTTATCAGCTACATAAACATCAGATGAGAAGAGTCACTACATGACTGCAGCCTTCCCGCAGCTTTGTGCACTGAGCTTTCCTGTTTTGTAGGTAAAAAGCAATTTTGGAAAGGCTTACACTCACTGATACATAGATGATTTATGTAAAAAAAAAAAAAAGATTTTCAAAAGTTAAGTTTCAGCCACTAGCACTACTATAATAAAAATGGACTTCTGAAATGCCAGCTGTCAGCGAGAGGCAGAACAGATACAGATTCATTTTAATTATTTTAACATGATGTTACTGGGTTTAATGAGGCACTAAATGCTTTAGGAAAGGTAGAAACAGTATAATAATATATAATTAACCAAGTATTTTAATATCCATGGTGCAGCTATTAAAATTTGTTACGTAGCAAATGAAATAAATTCACACTAAGGATTTCGCTGTTGAGAGGAGTCCTGTGGCCTCTGACCACAAATATGTTTTATTTGCCTTCTTTGCATAAACCTACAATATTATTTTTTTTTTTAAATCTGGATATTGCCTTATTGTTTAGCACTCAGTGATTTGATGTGGACTAGTAGTTCGCTTAACACATAGACAAAGGTAAATAACTCGACTATATTCAGTTTTTAAACATGTAAATATTACACAACTTGGTCTGAAAGAACAGCTTTACCCATCTAGTGTGCTTCCTGCCCTAAGGAAGAATACTGGTTTCCATTATACTTCTGATAGAAGAATTTCACCTACGTGTCCCTGAAATGGTGACAGCAGTACTTTTAACCACAAATAAACACCAGAATATAATATTAACTGATAACTACATTAACTGATAGCCCTATTCTCAAATAAGTGGTAACTGTTAACTGATAGCATTATTCTCAAATTCCAATATCTGAAACCACTATAAAACTCTATCTAGCTCCAATTATGCTTTATACAATTCATGACAAACAAAAAGTTGCTTTTATTCTAGCTCTCAAGGACGTGAGGATGTGACATGGATGCTGTAGGACATTCATGTTACAGAAGCAGCACGGAGAGCCTCCCCTTACCCACAGCCCCACATGCCTGAGCACAAAAGTGCAATTAATGCCCTCACTGACTTGCTGACATTTGAGCTACAAAACTGGTTCAGATATACCAAGTCCATCAAGAGGTGACAACGCCAGTGTTAATACTGCTGTCCAATTTCATGTGGTATAATGTATTTTGATGTTTTGTGCTAATAATCTGAATCTACAAGGAGCAAGGTGTGCCTATGAAGCGCACATACATTATGGGAGATTCACAATCGCTTTTACGTACACCATCTTCTCAGCCATCTCATTTTCTTAGCATCGTTCCACGTACATAGAATAGAATCATAGAACAGTTTGGGTTGGAAGGGGCCTTAAAGATCATTGAGTTACAACCTCCTGCCATGGGCAGGGACACCTCCCAGTAGAGCAGGTTGCTCAAAGCCCCATCCAGCCTGGCCCTGAAGACATGGCCTCCACTCAGAAGGTCAGGATGAAGGGGAGAGCAAGCAGATGGAATGTAGTGAGGACAAGCACAGAGAAGCACTCACACAGCGATTCTCTGGTTTTGTGTCAGAGAACAAGGATTTTCAGAATTAATTTCCCCAAAATCCACACTATTACCTGAAATCACCAGAAAACAAGAAAGCTTGAAACAGTGTTAACAATTATGGTGCAGCCTCAACTTGTTTGTCAATAAGGAGAAAAAAACCCTACAATTAAGACAATATATTTTTTGTTTCAAATGTATTGGCAGAAAGTGCTCATTTTTGTTTTGCTCAGTTTTCAAAATGCCCTCTGAAAATGATAAGGACTCAAGAGCAGCAGCAATAAAAACTTTCAAAGTTTTGGTTAGCTCCCGTTCTACAGAAACCTTGTGAAATATACAACTTTGATGAAATAGCAGAGCGCTCTAGCTAAATTAGTTTCAAGATTTGGAGGCTTAGTTTTGCAACAGTAGATACCAGAAGAATAATTTGCTTTAAATTAAAAAAAAGAAAAAAAAAAAAAAAAGAAAAGGGAAGACTTGGGTCCTGCAGAAATTGAACCGCTTGTCTGGAAAAATCTTCTATTCACGATTGGTTAGTTAGAGGATTTTCTAAACCTTGGAAAGTCTGAATGCCTGGACCAGGAAGTATTATAATGCATTTTTATGTCAAATTCAGCTTTTCCATCATATATAAATATGATTTTTCTTGGATCTTGTTAGAGGAGCAAACAGCTCTTACACTGTATTAGTGTTTTGATCCCAGTGAACACATTACAAAATAAAAAACACACTTGCCCATAAAAACTACAGCTATCATAATATCCTAAAGAATACTACTATATTATTCCTTTATATAATTTTATTGTAAAAGTTTTCTTCCAACATACACACTCCCTGCATTTTCTTAATCCCCTAAAACACAAGCAAGTTATTAAGCCTGCAGAGTGTTCTGCAATAACACAACTTGAGATCATCACAAAGACGAATAGTTTTCACCAAGCTTCTGACTGAGCCTGACTTCCAAAGAAAAAAATAATTACATTTAATTGTTGAAATTACTCCTACTAATATGAAGATGCTGGCAGGAAAATTCATAAATACTTGTGAGATAAGGATCCTACAGAGCAACTGTAAGTATCATCTCAGTGATCCATCTTGCTCCGTATCCTGCTTTTAGTTTGTACCAAGCATTAAAGAGGAATGGGAAATATGCTCTATAGTGTTATGAACCAACTCAGCTCCATCTGAAGTTTCAACTTCATCTTCATTTAGTGACCATCTTACACTATGAAGTAGGAAAGTATTGTTAGTATGGATATTTCACATGTATAGACATCTATCTAATCGGAAGATGCTGGCACTTGCTGTCAGCACCTTTTCAGCAGCTTTGATTTAGAAGAAATATATCGCTAACAAATATAAGAATGATTAATGATGTTTAGAGAAGCTCTTTAGTAAGACAATAAAGTATTTTAATTTGGTGCTGCAAAAATAATGGCTGGTGGCATTTTAAAATACCTAAACTATAAGAACTTGCAAGAGGAAAAAATAATATCTAATTAAATTAGTAATTACAGTAAATCTGCAGATAGGTCCCTCTTTTAAGGTAACAGCTAAGATGCCAGGTGAAGACTGTCAGCACTTTAGTAAATCCAAAGATTTGGTGACTGGGCCCTACTGGAGCAGATGGCCACGGATGCAGAGGTGAAGCCAGAAAGGGATTTTGTTCTTTCATCTGTTCAAAGCATTTTCATTCTGTTTTTGCCTGTGCTGGCAATCTCAGCCCGCGGTACATCCCTGTACTCTGAGTGTCTGCCAATTCCAGACAGACCGCTCAAAAAGCAAACAGAAGATGGAGATCATCTCAGGAAACCCACCCAAAACACGAGAAGCCATTTCATCTCTTAGTCTTTGGGGTTTTTCGCCTTTTCACCACTAGTATTATGTTTCCACTTTCTTTAGCTTTTCGACTTATTGTTAAGTGTAACTGTTAAAAGACCAGGAGAATTTAGAGGTATTTTACAGCCAAGATATATAATTTTATATTCACAGATAGGACAACTCCAGTCCTAAGGAGTAAACCACAACTGGAAGTGGAACCATTCTGGAACTGTATTTAAGAATGGAGCATTACTGATGTGTGACTGATGGAAATAACGAGGAGGAAGGAAAAAAAATAAAAATGCCAGTTTAAACTGGAAGCCAGTTACAAAGACCTATAGACATGCCCTTCTGATTAAAACAGAAATAAATTACTAAACATATGTCAACTAAGATGATCACAGAATCATTGGATGGCTGAGGTTGGAAGGGGCCTCTGGAAATGGTCTGGCCCAACCCTCTGTTCGAGCAGGGCCACCCAGAGCCAGCTGCCCAGGATTATATGTACCAGACCAACCACTGAGGAGGTCCACAAGAACGTCTTTGTGTATTTCCAAGGAAAATTTCTGCTCTGCTTTCCATTATCCAAGCTGAGTAATATTTACCTGTTTTTATATATGCATATACACACACAAGTAAATATAAAATAAACAGTTCTGCTTAGCTCCTCTGCAGTAATTCTGCAAAAGCGAAGAAGTACATGCTCCATGATGGAGAAGGCTCAGGAGAAAAAGGATAATGTGATAACTAATCTACAAATATTTGTTGGATAGCTTATTCCAAATGAAAACGAGGTATGTACATTACAGGTCAAAAGAAGCTTAAAGACAAAATTTGTAAAGTTACAATGTAGATCAACTAGCAGAGGAAACAGTCTTATAACAAGCTACTGAATGGAAGAATAGTCTCTGGAGAACAATAAATAATCCATTACTCTGCCTATTAAAACAGCACTGGGAAAATATAGAAGATAGTTTGTAGAAAATAGTTGTCATGTTCCCTGGCAGACGGATTTAGTGTG